GGTGTAACCAACCTTCTGCCGCTGCTGTGTGCTAAGACCTCTCCAGCCAGAACGGTTCATAGCGTTTCCCTTCCAGCTTAGGGGAAGCTGCTCTGGGACACGAGCAAGCACTGCACAGGGTCTTTGTGCCCGAGCCTGTTTTTGGCAGCGGAGGCTTGCCACGGTTGCCAGTCGGCAAGCTCTGAAGCTGGCCAGGCTCAGCCGGCTGCCACAGCGGCGTTGTCACTGTTGTCTGCCTTCCCCCGGTACAAGAGTACCCCTTGGTTATCTATGTCACGGTTACCGTCGACTAACTTTGCAAGCTGGGAAGGTGGGCGGTGGGGCTGGGACAAGAGCAGTGGCATGCTGAGTAAAATCAGGGCCACAAACTGCATGAGTTGGTGTAATGTCTTTCTCTCCTACAAAGAGCACCTCTGGGGCCACCCAGTCTCTTCCCTCCATTTACATCTCTGATAAAAAATGAGGGAAGCTATGAAGGACACAACCAAGGGGACCATGCACCTCCACCCAGCCACGGACCAAATGTCACCTTCAGCACCTTTGGGTGCTCAGCCCCTCACTATCATTCCACTGTTGACTGTCTCCAACACTCCCACATCCCAGTACTGGTGCCCTGTCATCTCACAGCCCCTTCCTAGTCACCACCCTCATAGCCTCAGTCCTTCACCCAGAGTCACCTTCCTTTCAACCACCCAAAATCCTCTTTGGCTCAAGGCTCATCCCGGTGACCCACAGCTCCATATTCCCAATGACCCTCCAGCCCTGGGAATATGAAAGTCTTCCTGCCTCTGCCCTTTAGCTCCTTTCCATCTCCAGCCATGTGCAATATTCCTCCTGTACACCTGAACGCCTCCAGCAACTCTCTTCAACTTAAAACTCATCTGCAATCACTTCAGTGACCATATTCACCCCCAAAAGGCCACTGTGCCTATGGCCCTTCCAAAACCACCGCTCCAGTCCCCCTCCCGGCCGCACACGGAGGCTGTCTGTGAATGGAGGCATGTGCAGACCGTGTATGAGCAATGTGGGTTTTTTCCTTTCATAACCTGTCAACTCATTCGCTCTATTAGTTAATTGATTTCTGACATGTTGCTGTTTTGAGGGGAAGTTAAGCAAGGGAGCGAGCGAAGATGAGGCCAGTCGCTTCAGCGGGAGGAGTTTGGGTTTGGCCGCTGCCACCGGCATGGTGAAGGGCTATGCGGGAAGGTGCGGCAGCGAGAAGGCAGCGTTGAGGTCATCCGCGGAGAAGGTGTTCCAATTGACTGCTGCTGTAATTAGGGAAGGGACAGTCCGGATTGATTTGGTGCACGATCGATGAGATAGCTCAGTCGTGGAGGAGCTCCTCCTTCCCTCAGAGCAGGGGCATGTTCTGATGATGCAAAAGGCAAGAATGCTCCTCAGAAGAAACCTGCCCTGCGAAATACCTGCTCTCCAGCCTGGGTTGAGGTAACTGTTTCACCCAAGGCAGCGCAGTAAAGGAGAAGGGCTCAGCGTCTAGGTCATACCCTTGGAGGAAAGTCCATCAAGTAGCACAGGAGCGCTGTGCTTTGGGAGCAGGTCATTGTACACCATCACCTTTACCAAGGGCTTTTGCTCTAGGACATTTGCTCATTTGCCCACTGTGTGAGTTACGGGCGCTGAACTGGAGCCCTGTGGGCGTCTGACCAGGTTTATTACTTCTGATACGCTCGCTGGAGGTGTGCTGACCCTTACGCTGAAGGAGCAGTGCTCCCGAGGCAGTCGCTTTACCCAGATTTCAGGAGACATTTCTACCTTAAGCGGCTTCTGCTTTGCAAGAAAAAAAACCCTTCAGCTTTTGGCATCAATCCAGAAAAGTCAACAGGCAGTTTGGAAGGGCAGGAAGGAGAGAGGGAACCCAGGTAGAAGAGCATGGACACTTGTTCCTTGCCTGTTCACAGCTACTGAAATAGGTGAATAGCCCTGGAAAAGCTTGTTTTGAAGACATGCCTTTTCCTTTGGAAGACCAGAAAGGAAAAAAACCTGCAAGTTGTAAATATATATATATACATAGGAGAGAAAAGAGCAGGCTGTAACTATGTACTCTAAATATGGAA